TGGTTTGGCTCAAAAATTTGTCATCTTCACACGGAAACAATGATTTTTTTGTCTGTTTTTAATAAGGCTTCATGTTCCTACAAGATTGCATCTCCCTCGGGGGCTTTCTAAACAAAGCTCGTTCTATTGGCGGCACCTCGTTGCTTGGGGAAACATGCCTTTGTGCAGCGCGCGCAGATCCCCATATTGATGTTCTAATAAAAAGTTGTTTATCTGCGAACACATTGCCTAAACACGTTCACCGTCTGTGCTCTCCTCTGTTCTCAAAGCTGATGCTAAACAGCGCTGCCAAATAAGCCATAACATTTGCGGTATCAATAAAATGCATCGTTTGGAGTACGTGCTCACGCAGCACCTTAAAATTCATTGAAACGCAGTGGTCAAAGGCTCCTAAGGCAACAGAGTGCACAAAAAGCCTAGCTAAGGTGATGCTTAACAGTTTCAGGCTGGGCTCCTTCAAGGTTATTATGTAAAGCAGGATAGCAATAAACATGGTAATTTGGTCTCATGGTCTTCTGAAGAGAGTAGGAGGTTCATTAAAGAGCAGTCGAGCGCTCTGGGCTAAAGCTATTGGTTAGGAGAAAATGATGCTCATCTCCCTATCCAGCTGCAGGAACCACTGGTGTTTACAGGACACAAACAAATGCAAAGCATCCTCGAGGGCAAACTCTCACTGCAGAGGGAAAGAACACGAAGGCTTGTGTATCTAATGTGCACGGCTCATTAAAATCCTATCTACCATCTACAGCCCACCTCTAGACACTTTTCGATGGATGAAGAAAGGAAGGACTTTGACAGAGAAAGAATTCGGAGCTGTCAGCTTCCTCTGATAAAAGGCATTGAGGCATCGAGGCGCCTGCTCTTTCTGTTTCCTCTAACACCCTAAATCGTTCCAGCGTTGTGGTTCTGATGCTTTAAAAATGCACCACTGAATCTTTTTTTTTATATATCTGTCTGAAATTTGAGCAAACCAAACTAAATCTGTTTGAATAACACTGATTGTAAAAAAAATGGTCATTATTTAAACATTTCATTACTTCTCAGTTAACTTACAATAAAATGGCTAGCTAAATAGGACAAATATGGCAGTTCACAAAAATACACACACATACACACACAAACACACACTCGCTCTACCCCTAAACCCAACCCCCAAATTTTTAATGTCAAAAGATCCTGTTAAGATTTTTGAGCATTGTGAATTACAAGAGACATGCTTTACCTATATCATACCCATGTCATTATACAATTTTATGTCTTCTTAAACCACATAAACCTGTACACAAATATATACACTCACCGGCCACTTTATTAGGTACACCTGTCTAACTGCTTGTTAACACAAATTTCTAATCAGCCAATCCCATGGAAGCAACTTAATGCATTTAGGCATGTAGACATGATCAAGGTGATCTGTTGCAGTCCAAACCAAGCATCAGAAAAGGGAAGAAAGGTGATTTAGGTGACTTTGAATGTCGCATGGTTGTTGGTGCCAGACGGGCTGGTCAGAGTATTTTAGAAACTGCTGATCAACTGGGATTTTCATGCACAACCATCTTTAGGGTTTACAGAGAATGGTCAGACAAAGAGAAAATATCCAGTAAGCAGCAGTTCTGTGGGCGCAAGTGCCTTGTTGATGTCAGAGGCCAGAATGGCCAGACTGGCTTGAGCTGATAGAAAGGCAACAGTATCTTAAATAACTTTGTTACAACCGAGGTATACAGAAGAGGATCTCTGAACCCACAACATGTCCAACCTTGAGGCGGATGGGGTAGGGCAGCAGAAGAGCACACCGGTTACCACTTCTGTCAGCTAAGAACAGGAAACTGAGGCTACAATTCTCACAGGCTGACCAAAATTGGATAATAGAAGATTGGAAAAACGTTGCCTGGTCTGATGAGTCTCAATTTCTGCTGCAACATTTGGATGATAGGGTCAGAATTATTGCCTTGTATCAAAGGTTCAGGCTGGTGGTGGTGGTGTAATAATGTGGGGGATATTTTCTTGGCACACTTTGGGCCCATTAGTATCATTTAAGCATTGTGTCAATGCCACAGCCTACCTGAGAATTGTTGCTGACCATGTCCATCCCTTTATGACCACAATGTACTCATCTTCTGACGGCTACTACCAGGAGGATAACGCGCCATGTCATAAAGCTTGAATCAACTCAGACTGGTTTCTTGAACATGACAACGAGTTCACTGTACTGTAACGGCCACCACAGTCACCAGATCTCAATCCAAAAGAGCACCCTTGGGATGTGGTGGAATGGGATATTTGCATCACGGATGTGCAGCCAACAAATCTGCAGCAACAGCGTGATGCTACCATGTCAATATGGACCAAAATCTCTGAGGATTATTTCCACTACCTCGTTGAATCTATGTCACAAAAGATTCTGAAGGCAAAAGGGGGTCCAACCCAATACTAGCAAGGTGTACCTAATAAAGTGGCCGGTGAGTGTATAAAACATATGTAGACTTAAGATTTGCACAGTGGTGTTTGTTTTGACCATGATATGTTTAATAGATAATTAAAGGATAGTCTAAGTCTTAGTTAAAAATCTAAATAATTAAATTCTGGTACACAAAGGTTAATTATTTGAATGCAAAAACAAGCTCAGTGTGTAAAATATATTCCTGAAATTCTTTTTCTTCTTCAGCCTTATTCCCGTATGGTTGGGGGTCGGCTCTTTGGAACAAGCCATTTTAGACTTGTCCATATGATAACAACTTTTTTAATTTAGCCTACCCAATTCACCTGCAGCATGTCTTTGGACTGTGGGGGGAAACCGGAGGACTCGGAGGAAACCCACGCAAACGCAGGGAGAACATGCAAACTCCTCACAGAAATGCCAACTGAGCCGAGGTTTGAACCAGTGACCTTCTTGTTGTGAGGCGACAGCACTACCTACTGCGCCACTACTTCGCCCCATATTCCTGAAATTCTTAATATTTGCAAACCAGTAAATGCATTTCTCAAAACATTTTGTACAAGAGAATCACTCCATACACTACCTGCTCTAGTATATATACTAACTCTCTCAAAATCATTAAATCATCTCTGAACAGTAAGCAATTGTGTCAGTAAAGATGAGAATGCCAATTGCTCGTTTCACTAATCATGAACAAGATGATCAAAATGCTGGGCCATATTGTCACTATGACAGTGTAATCTGTTGGTATTTTTGGAATTAATCTATGCCTACAGATTTGATGACTGCACAAACAATGAACAACAGTGCCGTTTCTAAGCCATATCAAACCATATTAGACTAATATATTACACAAACAGTTGATTATGTAGGGGAGGAAGAGTTCATAATCAATTGCTTGAATGTACCAAAACATCTGCAATATGTTCAAAAGAATGAAACTTTGTTGAATTTGAGAAAAGCAAGACGTCCTCGCTGCAGTCTGTATAATAATAATATCCTAGAAAAGGTCCAATGCGTAGTGGACATTGGAACGCCCACTATGGTAATGCCAATGTTACTGTTACAGTTGAATTTAGGGTTGGGGAGGTCTATGTGTTAATGACACACAATGTAATGTGTAATTTACTAAATAATATAAATAATTAAGTGTTTCCAACAAAACCTGGACATCAACCAGTACATCGTCAAGCTGCAATAGCGAGGACTCAAGAAATGTGCCAAGAGTGAAGAAAAAATTTATCTTGACAGGGGTATATATGGGTATATCACCAGAGGTCCCCTCTAAACCCGCCTAAATGCACCCTGTGCGTCTCGCGTTTTAACCACCTGCTGCACCTCGCAAACATCAGCTCTGAGCAGAAAATGGCGTTACGTCCATTGCGTCTTTTTCATTCTCCAATCAAATGAAAGCAGAGGCAGGGATTTCCGTTGAGGTGCATGCAGTGTTTGTGTTGTCAAGACAACATGGGAGACTTTTGAAGATGAAGGAGAGACTTGTGGTTGCAGTTTTGAGTAATGGAGCTACAGTATATGACTTCGCAAATCTTAAATCTCACAATATCATTAAATATTACAATTATATTAATATTAAAAGCAACACTCGCACACAATACCCAGCTGATTCAATCATTGTCTAGCGACACAAAAAAGCGCATTCTTTTTTTATCTTGTCAACAAAAAAGGCAGTGAGGTGTGCCTCATGTTTTTGGAACATAAAAGCACGTTCGGTCTAAACGGCCCCTTATCCAGCATATGTTTTACACACTGGGGAACACCCATACAAACCATTTACTCAATTACTAACTAAGTTACTATTTGTGAGAAGTACCTGTTATTATAACTAATTACTCTTTTAAAAGAGAGTGCCCAACACTGGTAACAACTACTTTAAAATTGCATCACTTATTGCACCATTTTCAAGAACCCTAAGCTTATGTACAAAAAAAGATGTTGAAATACTTTCAACCTGACAACAAATCATTCATCGTAGCAAAATAAATCCCTTTAATCCATTTCACATCAAGGATTCTTAGTCATGTTAACAACTGTCGGTTCAGTAGCCTTTGTCACATTTTGTCTGAAGAACCTCTTTGAAAACATCTGTGGAAGAGATACACTTGTGACAAAGAAAAACTACAGCTAACTACCACTGACTGTCCAAAACATTGTGAAGGTTTCCAGAGATCTGTTCTCCTCAGAGTCTGCTATGATTAATAACGAAGGATTACCCAAATACCCAATGCAAAACACAAAGCTAATGAAGACCATAGAGAAACGAGCCTCGCAAAATGAAAGCATAACACATCTACGTATTTTCAAAGCTATCTATGCAAGTATCAACAGATAAAGGTAAGGGAAAGAGGTGGGATGGCATATGGAAACTTTTCAACTCCGTTTTCTTTTAATTGTCTTAAGAATAAGTCTCTGAATGTGATGTAACTCCTTAATGAATTATCTGTCTCTCATTTTTTGACTGCTTGTTTTTATATATATATATAAATAGATCTTTTTTAAAGCAGAGCCTTATGCAATGCTGAAAGTAAAATAAAGGAAGACTCACCTGTCTGTCCAGCTTCTGTTGCCGCAGATTCGTGCCCTCATCATCCAATGTGCTGCAAAGCAAAAAGACAAAAATAAGAATAATGGAAAGCTTCAGCAAGAAAAACTGAGTAAAACAGCAGACTGTCTAGATATCATAATCAACTGTCTAGTATCAAGAGAAGAATAATGAAACATTGATTTTATCGACAGATTCAGTTCCCTGCTGTTCATGTCTTTCCCTAACGACATGACATTAGTATTCAAGCAAGCTCATGTATCATTAAAAGCGCTAATGTCTAGCCACACTATTATTTCAATAAATCACAGCAGTTGGTCTTCATTCACTGGCCATTAAACCTAAAATGTGGGCAGAAGAGTATATAAATAGTACGTATGAACATGTTTTTTTCAAAGGACACAGGCAGCGCTGCTGTGTTGATCATGCCTATGACTCATTGTGTTCTTTCTGGTCCTCTGTGGAGGGAGGTCTATGGTGAGGCCTTTGTGCTCTGCCTGTCCCTGCTCTCGTTCCCTTTAATCAGCCATGACACATTCACTCCAGACCCCCTTATGCATTTCTGCCGCCTGTTATTGCTGAGGCAAAAGCTGTGTTAATTAAATGGCAATGGAGGGCCGCCTTTGTGGCTGCGGTGGGCCATGCGGAGAGAAGTGTGACAGATCAAGAGTGGTGTGGAAGAGTGGTGCTCTGTAATCTGTAACGCAAAACCTGGGCGCATTAGGTAGTAGCATAATTACAAGCAGACTACAGAGATGCACTCGTACAAATACAAGAATTCTGCTGTGTTTGCTCTCGGTATTGATTTGGCTCCCATCTGGATGTCATGAGAGAATTAAAGCAGCTTGAGTTCAGAACAGCACAGGCATTTATTTTCTTGTTGACATTATAAAGCACACACAAATGTGCTAATCAGATAGGTCTTTGCACCCTATAGGGTCCCACTTTACTGTGTATTAGGTGGCCTTAACTACTATGTATTTGTATCAAAAACTAATACAATGTACTTACTTTACTGTGTTTATAATATAGCCCACTGATTCAGTGAGGTGGGATATGGGTGAGGTTAGGGGGAGGTTTGGTGCCATAGGCCGGTTTAAGGGTAGGTTAGGGTGTAAGGAATGGTCAACAGTATAATTACGAATGTAATTACAGAAACTAACCTCTTAATGTCAAGTTCTATTTTGGGGTTTCCGTCTGGGTTTTGCCTCCCCAAATTTAAAAGCTTCCCAAATCCACAAGCAGAGGTGTAAATGCAAAAGTTTGGTATAGTTTGAAAGAAAACCTTTAGAATTTTTATAAAACACTGTTGAAAGTGATAAAAATAATTGTATATGGTGTCTTTGTTATAATAAACCCCTCCAAAAAAGAAGCCCTTTTTTTTCTAAACTTAAATTTGAAAGTGAACCTCTGAGGTTCTGTGTGGTCTAGGTTGCTGTAATTAATTTTGTTAGTTCCTGCACATGTCAGTAATCAAAGGAAAAAAGACAAATGTCTCTATCATAATCGCTGCAAAAGTTATTCTATTCCAACTGATGAGAAATAAGAACCACTTATGGGTGTATTGGGCCAGAACGGACTTTTAAAATTTAAAGAAAGCAGAATTTACGGTAGCACTTTATAATAACTACACACTATAAATCATTTATTAAGCATTAGCAAATAGTGAACTCATTATCTGTTAAGCATTAACTCTACATTAATAAGCAATAGTAAGCAGTTTATAACTGCAGCTACAAGTGCTCCATTCTTGACTTATAAGCACCTATAATGTGTTTAATGATTGTATTTTCATACTTAGTTAATGATTTATTTTTCATTACTAAATTAAGTATCGAATTATTTACAAACTGTTTGTATTTAAGAGTAGTTGAGGGTTTTAGGATCATTCAGAATGAGTTAGTAAATGATTAATAAACTATTGAAATCAACATTTATATGTCTTATTATTCAGGCATATATTAATAATTACTATATATGGTAATAAATGCTTTATTAACTCAACTTCATGCAGTTTTGTGACCTAATCTAAAGTGAGGACTACTCATGCTTTATAAATCCCTTATAAATGACAAATAAAGGCTCAGTTAAATTCTGAACATGAAAAATGAAATTATTCATTCCTATTTAATTAAAGAGACACAAATGAAACTGTACTTCAAATGAAAAAGAAATCTTTGCAAGCTTATCTAAAATAAAATCACTGTTTAAACATGAGTTTAAACATTGCATCTTATAATGTTAAATTATTATATTGTTTTTGTTTTATCCAGTTGGATGTCATATTTTGACACTCCTGTTATGTGGCAATGTTTAAACTTTACAGTAATTTTACTTTTTAGAACAGATTATCATTCATTTGATACTGAGCCTTTAATTGTCATTTATAAGGCATTTATAAAGCATGAATAGTCCTCACTTTAGATTAGGTCACAAAACTGCATGAAGTTGAGTTAATAAAGCATTTACTAACATATAAGTTAACTATTAGTATATGCCTGCATAATAAGACATATAAACGTTGATTTCAATAGTTAATTAATCAGTTGCTAACTCATTCTGAATGGTCCTAAAAACCCTCAACTACTCCTAAATACAAATGGTTTGTAAATAATTCGATACTTAATTTAGTAATGAAAAATAAATCTTTAACAGAGTATGAAAATACAATTAACCACATTATATAGGTGTTTATAAGTCAAGAATAGAGCCTTTGTAGCTGCAGTTATAAACTGCTTACTAACGTTTATTAATGTACAGTTAATGCTTAACAGATAATGAGTTCACTATTTGCTAATGCTTAATAAATGATTTATAGTGTGTAGTTATTATAAAGTTCTACCGAATTTACAGATGGAGGAATTTCATCAATTACAAGTACACTGTAAAAACAAAAAAAGTACACCAAATATAAAGTGGGACCCACTATAGAAAATGTAAAGAATTAAATAAAAAATACAGCTAAACAATTTAAGAACTCCAGGCTTCTTGGTAGCTTCTTTTGAGTGTATAAAGTAGTAGATAGTTGACCCAAAAAAACATTTATGTTGATTATACATCAGACAACTTTATGGGCAAATTTGCTGGGCAATTTTGCAAAGTGATATTGCTTGGCTACTATTTTATTAAGAATGGGAAACAATATTGTATTTGTAACCCATTGCTCTAATATGTTACACTGTGTTTCAGCTGGATAGACGGCCGGATGGACGGACAGACAGACCGCCGGACAGACAGATCGACAGACAGAGATAGATAGATAGATAGATAGATAGATAGATAGATAGATAGATAGATAGATAGATAGATAGATAGATAGATAGATAGATAGATAGATAGATAGATAGATAGATAGATAGATAGATAGATAGATAGATAGATAGATAGATAGATAGATAGATAGATAGATAGATAGATAGATAGATAGATAGATAGATAGATAGATAGATAGATAGATAGATAGATAGATAGATAGATAGATAGATAGATAGATAGATAGATCTCTTCCTCTCTCTTTCCGAAGGATATTCCAGCACCCAGCTGCACCGAATGCAAATTTTCTAGTTTCCTGTTTTTAAACCTGAAAGTGTCACTCTCTATGGGCTGCCAGCACTGGCACCATTTTTATCACACATGCACATGAGCAGGAAGACACATGTCTACATGCACACACTCATTCTCAAATACAGACACTCACAAACCTCAGCATATAAAAACAGCCACGCTTATGTGTGCACATTCACGATCTCCCTTTTAAAGCTACAATACACAAATGAACACATGCTCAAAGCACAGTGCCTAATGTCAGCAGTCAAGGGTGTCAGTTTCCATCAGATTGGCAGATAATGACATAAACAGAGCCTAATAATGAGGGTCAACAAGGGATGAAAGATAAATTGATATGTTCCGACAGCTGCCTGCAATGTGCAGTAGGATTCCTCTCCCTCGCCATCAAGCTTCACTGATGAGTGACAATTCACTTTGTGATTGCGCCTGTGTGTGTGTATGTGTGTGTGTACATGTAGGTGTTTAAACGGTTAGTTCACCAAAAAATAAAAATTCTGTTATTTTCTCACCTGTCGTTACAATCCCCCTGGCACATTTGTTCATCTTCGAAACAGAAATGAAAAGATGTTAGATTAAATCTGAGAGCTCCCTCATCCTCCATAGACAGCAATGGTCCCAAGATGTTTAAAGTGCGAAAAATAAACCAAAAATATTGAAGATGAACAAAGATCTCAGGGGATTAAAATGACATGAGGGTGAGTAATATATGCAGCCTGATCTCACGAGAAAACGTAAGTATTTTACGTTTTGCCAGTTTAGTGGCTAATTCGTACGAATTCGTACGAGTTCAGTCGTACGAAATGGTACGATTTTAAAAAGGAGGCGTGGCACCTGACCCCACCCCTAACCCCAAGCGTCATTGGGGGATAAGCAAATCGTACCAAATTTTACGAATTAGATCGTACGAATTCATACGAATTAGCCACTAAATGAAAAAGTTACGAATTGCCGTGAGATTGTGTTGAATATATGACAACATTTTCCTTTTTGGCCAACTTTAACCACTTAACTATATGTGCATTGGAATCAGCCATAGTTTCCCTATTTGTGTCCTTGAAAAAATTGAATATGTTAACAAAAGACAATGCACAATAGTAGAGTTTGCGAGGAAACTGCAGGGGGGTTGTCAGTTGACGAAAAGTTAACAATTAAGTTGTGTGTTAAAAAAAATCAATTTGGATTCACATTTAACTGGTTTCAAGACTTAAAGGTGCAGTATGTGATTGCCTTCAGAAACATTTTTTGTTGTGTTCGTTAAAAGTCTCTTCACATCCCAATAGTAATGATTAAAGTAAATGATTTAAATGCATTTATATGTATTTGTATATTGTGGGTAAGGCATAAAACCAAAAAAATGTTCATCCAATTAAACATTGTCAGGCCGATAATTCCCATGATTCTGATAAGTAGCAAAAACTGTCTGTCATCAAATGTAGATTTGTACATCTGAACACGCAGATGCGTTGTTTGCATGTGCACATGCGCCGC